TTCCCTCTGTTTTGTTTTGTTTTGGGGATATACAAAAAACCACTCAGGAATATATAATAATTTAAACAAACCAATGGCACATCCTGCAAGCCTGCCTCCTGGCCGCCAGCACAAAGCCTCTTTCCATAAGTCGTCCATGGGGTCTTTTTGTTTTTAATGTTTTATTGTGAATTATGTGATGGTTTTACACGCATCCTATCATAGATCGTTTCACTGCCATGGTTACAATCTCCTCCATGCATCATCAACCAACCAAAGGGTATACCCCACAAAGCTGCCCCCCAGTTGTCAGCACACAGCCCCTCTCCCTCTCTGGGTCTAGAGTCCCCAGCTGCTCCATCTCTCCATGTCATCATCTCTGTCTCCACCTCTGGCATCACTGTTTCTCTGGGTAGGGTCCCACTCTCCGCTTTTCTCCCTCCAGAACCTCCGCTTCTGGACTTCAAAGCCAACCACTCCTCTCCTTTGGCTACAAAACGTCCACCTTTACATTTCCAACCCTCACAGTAAGTCCTGATAGTAATTATTCACTATTGTACCACATGCGTGCTATCCCCATCTCCTTTCATCAGCCCCACCCAGACAGATTGTATACTACTCAGTGGAGATTCTACCTTCCTCCACACTCTCTGGATCTAGGCTCCCTCTTGAAAGCTTGTAAGCCAGTCACTTCTTGCCTTTTTAGCCCCTCCCCCCATTTTGGGTAGCCAATGTCCAAGTTGCTCATCCCTGTCTACTCTGTATCGAGGGGGTAGGAATGGTCCTTGCTGTAATCCATAGAGTTTTTGAAGTTGTAAATCTTCACAGAAGTAGATAGACTCATCTTTTGCCTTCAGAGCAGTTGGTGGGTTTGAACCACCAGACTTTCAATTATCAGTTCAGTGGTTAACTCACTGCACTTCCAGAGCTCCTTTTATGGAAGGGTTTTTGTTGTTAAGTACTGTCTAGTAGGTTACAACTCATAGTAACCCTGTGTAGGGTTTCCAAGGAATGGCTGGTGATTAGCCATTCCAGTGCTAACTACTAACTTTGTGATTAGCAGTCCAGTGCTTATCCAACAGTACAACACCAAGGACCTTATGGAAGGGTGGTGGTTGTGTACCACCATGTCATTTCTGAGGCTGTATATCTTTACAGGAGCAGAAAGTCTCCTCTTACTCCTGCAAAGAGACTGGTAGATTTGAACTGTTGTCTTAGGGTTAGTAGCCCAGGTCATAATCCACTATGCTATCCGTACCCCTTACGGAAGGTGAGGAGTAATTATGTTATATCACTGTGAAGAAATGAGTCAGGGGAAGAAACAGACCCAACTACACACAACGGTAGCTGACATCCTTACTGATAATATTGATAAGTTAATGTGCTTTCTCCACTTTCTAATTTTAAAATGGTTTTAAATGAACATTATTATTTTTTTTCATCAGCAAACATTAACCTCAGTTTAAAAAACAGAAGCAAGTCCACACTGTACTGGGAGTTCTGCCATGACCGGGTCAACAGCCCTTGGATAAAAGCCTTCCCAGCTCCAAGTTCCCCAGTCTATAAGGTTGGGTCCCACTCCCGACTTGTGGAATTGCAACACCCAATTACAGTCACCTGAGATGTGACTGTTGACCATGTTGTTCTAACCTCTGTTGAAACAGGCCTAGGGACTCCTAGTTCACTTTCACCTGGGTGCCCCTCTGGGAACTTCAGGGATAAAGATGAGAGGGTTTAGTGCCTTAGGGCCAGATCCTCCCTCAGTCTCTATCTGTCCCTCATCCAGCCTGTAGGCCATGGCTGGCCAGTGCCCCAGGGACAGCAGAGGATCAGCCCCACCACAACAGGGACCCTCACTGGTGTGGTCCCTCCACTGAGGCTGTGATGCTGATGGCCAACTGAAATGCGGCCCAGGCCACAGCCCTGAGGGGCACATTCCCTCCTAGGGGGACCTGTCTGCCAGCTGGGTGGGGACTTTCTGGCCAGGACACTCATGCTGATGGTCCCTTGTGTCATCCTGCAGAGGTGAAGGTCCTGGGTCTGGAGGGCTCTGACAAGCTCAGCATTCTCCGAGGATGCCCGGGGGCACCCGGAGCCCCAGGGACCAATGGAGAGGCAGGTGCCAAAGGAGAGAGAGGTATGTGCTTGGCCCACCGGGGTAGGTGCTGGTGTGGGGTAGAGGGGTTGCTGACCTACTCTTCTGAAATCAGATTCCAACTAAGAGCTGAGCTCTTAGTTGGGGAACTTTGGTCCTAGCTCTATATAGAGCCATTTCAGCTGCTGATGGCCAAAGGCCAGTAAAGGGAGGATAGCATCTTAGGAATGAGCTCATTTCTGAACTACTTTATAGTCACATCTGGGTGCTTTTGTAGAAGATCTGCTTCTGAGCCTAAAATCCATGCCTGTTGTTGGTGTTAGTGTCAACCATCAGTTCTGACTCATAGCAATCCTATTCACAACAGAACAAAATGCTGCCCAGTCCGGTCCCATCCTAACAAATTCTTGCCATTAGCTTGTTGTTCCAACCACTGTGCCCTTTTTCTTTGTTAATGAAGCTCTGCTTTACCAAGCATGATGTCCTTTTATAGGAACCGTCCATCTTGCTCATATTCTCGTCCTCGCTTCTAAGGAACATTCTGGATGTACTTTTTCCAGGACAGATGTGTTTTCGAAGTCTATGGTACTTTTCAGTTTTCTTCACCAACACCATAATTCAAAGACATCAGCTCTTCTCATGTTTTCCTTATTCACTGTTCCACTTTCACATGCATATGAGGTTATTGAAAATACCATGGCTTGGGTCAGGTGCACCTTAGTCCTCAAACCGATACCTTTGCTCTTGCTTGAACATTTTCAAGAGATCTATGCAGCAGACCTGCTCAAAGCAATACATCGTTTGATTTCTTGACTACTGCTTCCAAGATCATTGATTGTAGATCCAAATAGAATGAAATCCTTTTGTAACTTTTGGTAAGACTTATGAAATCTATGGACTGTCATATTGTTTCTTGGATAGTAGGCGGCAACTTTCTTCTTTCCCAAACTTGGAGAATGAAATTAAATCACAAAAAAAGCCAGAAATTTACCCATGTTCTCACAATGCTGAGGAGCAGAGCTGACATTTCAAACAGCTCATTTCGAAACTCTGAGTTCTCCTGAACCCTGACCCAGACTCTGCCGAGATCTGTCTGCTTTGGACACTTCTCCTACCACGGTAGCTTGGTGCAGTTTCTGCTCCCTCGAACCTGGCAAGAGCCTGGTGGATACTCAACCAGGGACTGCCTTGGGGTGGCAGTGGAGGCACCCAAGGAGATGCTTGAGGAGCATTGGATAGGGATGCCAGCTAGAGAAAGACAAGTTTGAATGTCCCTACGACTCCCACATTCTAAGAAGGGTTGGGGTCAGGGTCTGTGGGGCTGGTTCCTGCCAGGTCTGTAGATGGTGGTTGAGGGGGCCTCCCTCAGGGTGTCAGACCTTTAGGTGGGAACTCTGACCCTGTACCTTGCCAGAGGACACTTGGAGGAAGCTTTACAAGAGAGGAGAAAAGGAATCTGGGTCTGACCTCCCTTGGACCATGTTTCTACAAAGAACACCGTTAATCTACTCCAGGAAGGACCCAGGTCTACCCACTGTCTCCAGCCACAGTTGAGGGGTTGGGTGAGTGAGAAGGTGGGTGGTGTCCCCACTGCCCTCCCAGAGCAGAAATGGTCTTTTCTGACCTCATTGTTAAGAGGCTCTGAGGCCATTTGTCTCCACAGCAGGCCTAGGGTCTGGCATCCTTGAGAGCAGGAATTCTGGGCTCAAATCCTCTGGTTATGAGGGTCAGACCCAGTGCTATGGCATGCACAACAGTTGCCAGGAGCGAGGGTTTCCTAGGAGGATTTCTTAGGTTCCTACATCTGGGAAGGGTCCCAGGAAACAAACAATTCAGTGCCCAACTAGTAGGCAAAAGATTGATGATTCAAACCCACCCAGAGGCATCTCAGATGCCAGGTCTCAGCCTTGAGAACCCTTGGAGAAGGTCTACTCTACATGAATGGGTCACCATAAGTAGGAATCGACTCAACAGCAACCGACAACATCAGCAGGCCTGGGTGCTCTGCTCCATGACATGTGTTTGGAATTTGCAGGAGAACGTGGTCTCCCTGGAATCCCTGGGAAGGCAGGACCACCTGGACCCAAAGGTAAAACTGTGACAGAATACAAAAAATGCTCCAGAAAGCCAGGTCTTGAGAGGGAACTGGGGGCAGTGACCTTGTCCTTTCTCAGGGGCCCACTCCCTCTCAGTCAGCTCTCTGCCCCATCAGGTCCTGAGTCTGTGCCCATGGATACTGACATACCTGACCATAGCCCAGCAGTAGTCTCTGGAGAAGCCATGGGGCCAGCTGAACCCTAGACTTCTCAGTCCTGATCAGTCTGTGGCCCCTGCCACCAATCCCACTCTACTTCTATCCATGGAAGGGGTCTACCCTGGGTTTCTGCTAGATCACCCTATACCCCACCCTTACCTCACTTCCAGTCATAGGAGGGGTCCACCCTGGGTATCTCTGTCCTCAGCAGCCTGTGCCTCACCCTTATCTAAATTCCATGTGAGGGGTTTTCCCTGGGCTGATCACGTCTCTTTCTCTAGGAAACCCTGGACAGAAGGGGCATCCTGGAGAGAAAGGTGAGTCGTCCTGAAGGGACAGCTAAACTGGCTGTGTCCACACAAGAGGCTTTCAGGTCTCAGCGATGCCTGGGCTCTGGTGTGGGCCTGGGTCAAGCTTTCCCTTCTGACATGGTCTGGGGGTCAGGACAGGGGCTGGCTGCTCACTTCCCCCAGCCTATCCCAACCACACCTCAACCACACATGCGTGGAAATGTTACCTATATGGATTGGAGTGCAGTCCGGAACCTGTACCTCCATCTCACTAGGAAGTGATGACATCACAAGTCGAAAGTGGCTGTGTCTGAGCCACATCTACGCTACTTCACACCTAACTGAGGAAGTAAAGTAGTCCTGGGCCATGATCTGGGGGTTGTCTTTTCTGGAGCCGGAGACCCATCCATTCTGGATACCTGATCTCCCTCCAAGTCTTGGGTGAGGCTGATGGCTGGCTTTTGTCACATGTTATACTATGTGTTTTTCCCTCACTACCCATCACAGGAGAGCCTGGGACACTTCAGGATTGTCGCACAGGTGAATGAAGGATCCAGACCCACCTGTGAGAATCTCTGGGCCCTCCCAGTACAGTCAGCAGCCTGAAAGCTTGACTTGGCCCCTTCTTCCTCTCAGGATGTATGAGGCAGCTTCAAAAATTTGTGGGAAAATACCTTTATCTTTTCATTCCATTTCCATGAACCTTTTTGAAACTCCTCAAGTATGTGTATGTACAGACACACACACACACACACAAATGTGCATCAGGTAATTGGCTGACACTATTGCAGATGGCATCGAGTCCAAAATCTGGGGTCAAGGAAGACCGTGGAGAATGTGGAATGCTTACTTCCCAGAAGAGTGAAGAAGGAAGAACCTTGGAAGAGTCTATATATAGTGCGGAAGCAGGACCCACTGTAGGGAAGCCATAATTTAGCACTTCAGGCTTCAATTGACTGGAGCTGACCCATCACAGGGCAGAGGGTAAATATGCCCCTTGCTTAAGGGCAGCTGATTTAATCACGTGGAACTACTTCATAATACAGTGTAGACTAGTGCTCAGACAGAGACCAGGCACAAGACATGACCATGGAAAGCATACAAAACTCACCATCACAGAATGTTTTGGGCTCCACTAGTCTACCACGCACTGACAGGGATCTGTGGGTCTATATCTCTGTCCTAGCCCCTGCCTGCTCTCCCCATTCAGAAACACTCATCCTGCCCCACCATCCTGGACCCAGAGCCCGACTGCCCACCAAGCACCCCTGTCCTCATGCCCATCTCCCCGTCCCATCCAGGGCCTCGGAACTGTAAGGAGTTACTCACCCGGGGACATACCCTGAGCGGCTGGCACACCGTCTTCCTCCCTGACTGTCAGCCCCTGACAGTGCTGTGTGACATGCACACGGAGGGAGGAGGCTGGACCGTGAGTGCAGGGCCATGGGGGTCGGCACCGCCTGGGGAGGGGCTGCCTGGGCACCCCCACGTTGTCCTGTGATCTTGCTGGTGGTCTCTTTCCCTGTGGACCTTGGTTTCCTTCTCTGAGGGAGGGAGAATCAGGAGAGGTGGGGGAGACATGACCCCGTGAGGGAAGGACATTGGGGAGGAGTCCACCCCTCTCCTGCTGTGTGGCTGTGTGCTGACACCCACCCCACAGCCCCATCTCCACGTGGGTCAGCTGGGGCTCTCACCTGAACATCCTGGATTGTGAAGAGGCCCATGTGGGTGCTGGTGGCTTGTGACACTGTGACACTGTGTTGCTGCTGCACAGAGGCCAGGTCACACCCTGAACCGTGGGCCACCTTCTCCCCAAGTCCCTCTGTCCCCAGGTCTTCCAGCGCAGGATCGACGGCTCTGTGGACTTCTATCGGGATTGGGCCGAGTACAAGAAGGGCTTCGGCAGTCAGCTGGGAGAGTTCTGGCTGGGGAACGACAACATCCACGCCCTGACAGCCCAGGGTGAGGCCCTGCTGCCTGAGCTGGACCATAGATGCTGGGACTTTGAGACATCCATGTCTGCACTGAGATGTTCTGGATATGTGGCTCTGCTGTGGGCTCTCAGAGCATGGGGACCAGGATTGTGGGGTCACATGGAAACAAGAGTAGGGAGGGGCACTGAGAGAAGCTACCTTCAGGTACACCACCCATACTTTTTCTTTGGAGCTGGGATCTTAGGTCCCTGGTGACCCTACCCCAAATCCCCGACTCAGTATGTATGGCAGACCCCAATCACATGTCCTCACCCTGAATACAAGATCCCCCCCTGACTCCACACCACAGAATCAGCTTCCCATCTGCCCTGAGAAAACTGCAAAGACTGGCCCTCTCTCCATTCAGTGGTCCCCGGGACAACGTCAAGGGCCTCCCCTCCTGTGTTTCAAATTTTCCAAGAGAAGGGAAAGTTAAAACGCAAGCTCTCATACCACATATTAGTGTCCTACCAACCACTTCAAGTACAATTTACTCTTTTGATGGTCCTAGGTCCTCTGTTTCTGGACTGTAAGATCAACCACTCCCCCCCCGCCCTTTTTTTTTTTTTTTTAATATTTTTATTGTGAACTGAATGAAGGCTTACAGAGCCAATCCGTTTTACATTCAACACACCATACACTTCATTTCATTATAATGATTGCAATCCCTCCATGTACCATCAGTTAGGTGATTTTTTTTTTTAAGGTTTTTATTGTGGATTGAGTGAAAGGTTTACAGGGCATATCATCAGTTTTACATTCAACAAATCATACGCCTTGTTTCATTACAATGATTATAATCCCCTCCATGTACCATCAGTTAACAGTATTTCTCCCTATCTACTTTAGCTTTTAAAAACAAACAAACAAAC